CTCACCCATGGATACTTCAACAACGATTTTTAGAGAGAGGAGGAAAGACAGAGGGAAATATCTACGTGACAGAAACACATCGATTGGTTGCCTCCTGCACAAGCCCCAATCAGAGCTCGGCCAGGGAGGAGCCTGCAACCAAGGTACTTGCCCTTGACTGGAATCGAACCTGGGACCCGTCAGTCCGCAGGCCGCCGCTCTAGTCACTGAGCACACCGGCCAGGACTGTTGTTACTCATAAACCAACGATGGAACCCTTTCCCTGACGACGTCATCTAAAACCCACCGAGTAGCCAACCGGACGCTGTGCCTTCCTGGACTAGCAAAGCCGTTCTTCCCTGGAACCTGGCGCAGGCCCCTCCCACCCGCGCCCGCCCTGAAGGACTGATGCTCTGGCGTGCGGAGTGCCGTGTGAGTGGGCGGCAGTGGCAGGGCTCTGGCTGCTGGGGCAGGAACTTGGAGTCGAGTGGCTCACAGCCACATGCCCCTGTGGGGAGGGGTGGGGCTGAGCCCCAACTGGCAGTTCCCAGGAACCCGGGCCCTCGCAGGGCCCTTTTGGACACAACACAGCCAGTGGCCAGTGGCCAGTTCACGGTCTCCTAAAGCTCACTGCGTCTCACAGTGGAAGACGACCTGCCTTTGCACATAGAAGTCACAGACTCTCCAGAAGTTTCCAAAGCTCCATGGGCCTCCCACGAAGCCCCCGCTGTTCACCTTCCATCTAACTCTGGGATATAGGGCAGGGGTGCCCGCAAGTCCAAGTGCGGTTTTAAATAATCACTGAGAAGTGTAAATGCTACAAACCTACAGAACACATCCGTGGAACATTTACTTATTAAATGTCTTTTACACCGGGCGTGCTGACATTTGAATGCTAAGCTTTCACTTTAATTCTTGGCGTGGGCCAGCATCTGGGTGGGACGGGGGGCTCTCCCACAGCCCCTGGGAGAGCTGGCCGTCCTCCTAGAGGCCACCATGCCCACCTGAACATGTTTATTTATTTAAATATTTAAATATTGTTACTGATTTCAGAGAGGCAGGGGGAGGGGGGAAGAAACATCAATGATGAGAGAATCAGTGATAGGCTGCCTCCTGCACGCCCCCCCCTGGGGATCGAGCCCACAACCCGGTAAATGTGCCCTGACTGACCAGAAATCAAACCGTGACCTCCTGGTTCATAGGTCGACGCTCAACCACTGAGCCACGCCTCCTTTTTAGTACTCGGTGCTGGGTGGTCTGCATGCGTGGTAACACATGTAACGGGTGATATTTTGGTGAACATATTAACCAAACATGCTGACCTGTAACCTGTCACTCTGGGTACACATTCAGGAGCGTCGCTTTGCTTTCTGTCGCACGGCCAGCCATCGCATAACTGACTGGACGGCCGTCCAGTCCAGCGCGTCCCTACACGTGCATGTGCTGATCCAGGGCGTCTTTGGGGACCCTGCAGCCACAGAGACGCTTTGCGGGAGACCCCGGGCACCGACTGGGGCCCAGGGCAGCCGGGCCCACGTGGCAATGGGGCTGAGGTGGAGAGGAGAGCCGCCCTGTCCGTGCCCAGCCGCCAGCTGCGTGTGCTGCGTGTGCTGTGTGTACTGCGTGTGCTGTGTGTACTGCGTGTGCTGCGTGTGGTCCGGGAGGGGGCACAGCTCTCAGGCTTGTGCACTTTGCGTCCCGCTCAGCTCGCTGAGGCGCAGGCTGGCTGGACCTGGAGCGGAGCCCGACGCTGGCGGGTCTGTCCGCGGTGCTGCCTCCTCGCTGGGCCGCTCATTGTGCTGTGTCCCTTTCCACATTAGTCCACCGGCCTCTGAGCCACAGTTCCCGGGGCCACGGCCCCGCCACACCCTGCGCCCCCATAGCGGGAGCCGTGGGCACTTCCCTCGCCCTCAGCATTCCTGCGAGTTGAAGTCACTCCGTCCACCGAGGCCATCCCAGGCCGGCCCTCCCAGCATCTGCTAATCTGTCTGCATGTCTGCGGGGGGGACAGCGGGCGAGAGGCAGGGCTCCCGTTCGGGGAAACCGGGCGCTGAGCTGGTTGGGGCAGAAAAGACGACGTGAGGGCAGAGCGGCGTTGGAGGGCGCAGGCTGGACGGAGCGGTGACCGCGGAGGCAGCCTCTGTGGGGCCGGCCCCGCCTCAGATAAGCCGGGCTTTCCTCCTTGTCCTCTGTCCTCACTGTCGCGAGGGCGTGGGGGTCCCCGGTCCCCTATCAAAGTGGCACTCCAACGCTTTGGCCAGCACCCACCTGAAGAGGGACGGGGAAGGTCCGACACCGGCCCTCGGCCCAGGGCCCCCATCGTCTCGGCCAGGCGTGTGCATCTCACTGCACCTGCTGCTGGCCTCCCCGTTCGGCCGTCCCGCACGCTCAGAGGACAGGCGCGGAGCATGCACGGCCAGGCTGGGCCTTGGCCGGCCCCTCTGCCTGGCATGCTGCCCACCACCCATGCTGCCGCGGGCATCTCCGCAAGTGGGCAGGTTGGTTCTACCAAGGTCAGGCGCCGAGTGCAGTGTCACGAGTCCTGAGCTCCCGGCACTGACCCCCCTTCACACTGACCCTCCCCCCATCTTGCAGGACGAGGAGCAGGAGCAGGAGCAGGAGCAGGAGGACAGCGAGGAGGAGCCGCCCCCGGCAGAGCCTGAGGAGGACGATGGTGAGTGGGCCTGGCACCGCGGTCGGCACCGTCTGGCCGTGAATGCCTGCTGCGGTGGACTCTTGGGGTGCCAGCGGAGGATCTGAGGGCAGTCTGAGGGGAGGGGGTCGGGGAGAGGATGAGGGAGAGGGCTGAGTCTTGGAGTCCTGTCGGGCCCCGAGGACATCCAGGTCAGAGCCGCTCCCTCCACCCACCTTCCTACGCCCACCTCCCTGCCCTCCTCCTCTGTCGGTAAATGGGGAGCCGTCCCCAAACACAGGGGCCCGCCTCCTGGCCAACGGAGCATTTCGACCTGCTGGGTCCTGGGCTGCCCCTCGGCGCCCGGCGTCATGGCCCCCGCCTCCACTTGCCCTCCCAGCGCCTCTGCCGGGTCCCAGGGACCAGAGCCACTCCGGCTGCTGCCTGCGCCCGCCCGACGGAGCCCGGGAGCGGGCGCCCGGCCTGAGGGTCTCTGACTAACGGCCAGACCTGCTGGCCACCAGGGCCCAGGCGCCAGGAGAGAAAGGGAGTGACCAGGACCCCGAGGAAAAGGACCAATGCAAACCTGACCTAGTGGGAAGCACCCCGGGGGCCAGGGCCTGGACAGACAGACAGAACCAAAGCCACCGCTGGATCTGTCATGTTTTCTCTTAAACAAACAAACAAAAGTCAGCATTTGCTCAGTCTGTGTGGCAGGCACACGGAGGGCTTGCTGCTATACTTTTGTGTATGTTTGAACTATTTCGAATTTTTTGTCGTTAAACTTCACAGAGGATATTTTCCCACCGATTTCCAGAGAGTAGAGACGGAGACAGAGAAATATCCGTGTGACAGAGGCGCATTGATTGGTTGCCTCCCACATGTGCCCTTGACCGGAATAGAATCCGGGGTCCTTCAGTCTGCAGGCTGACACTCTAGCCGCTGAGCCAAACAGGCTAAGGCTGTTTTTAATTTTTAAAAAGCAAGGCTGTTGCTGTGACTTTAAGCCACTGCTGGCAGGCGCCGCGGCAGAGCTTCAGGAATGCAGTGGCCGGGCTGGCGTGGGGCGGCTGGGCAGGGCTGTCTGCATCTGTCAGCACCGCCTCCGGGGGAGGGAGGGCAGGGCCCTGGGGGGCGCGGCGGGCGCGGGAGTTGGACATCAGACCCTGGAGGAGCTCTTCCTCAGAGCAGCGTCAGTTTTCCCGGGCTGTCTGCAGGAACCGGCCCAGGGTCTGCCGCTGCCACGTGGGGGGTCCTGTCGGTGAGTTGGGGACACAAAGCAAAGCTGAGGCTGTTGGAGGCCCCGCAGCCAGGACGAGTGCCCTCCCTCCGTATCTGACCGCTGCCCTGGACACCCATCCCCGGCCAGCGGACCTGTGTCCCTCAGCACTCATGGGCTCACAGGATGTCCCCTCCCGGGGGCGGTCGCACGGAGCCCTCCTAATCCAGCAGACTGGAAGTTTGGTCCATGCATGGTCCGCGATGTGATCAGTGCAAACCGCTGCGAGTCTCTGGCCAGAAACAACCCCAGTCAGACCTGCCCCATCCAGACCTGCCCCATCCAGACCTGCCCCATCACACCTGCCCCATCACACCTGCCCCAGTCAGACCCACCCCAGTCAGACCCGCCCCATCACACCTGCCCCATCACACCTGCCCCATCACACCTGCCCCATCACACCTGCCCCATCACACCTGCCCCAATCAGACCCGCCCCAATCAGACCTGCCCAATCAGACCTGCCCCAGTCAGACCCACCCCAGTCAGACCCGCCCCATCAGACCTGCCCCATCAGCCCTGCCCCAGTCAGACCTGCCCCATCAGATCTGCCCCATCACACCTGCCCCAATCAGACCTGCCCCAGGAACTGGAGCTGAGCGCCCAGCTGGCAGCACTTCCGTTTTGTTTCTCTAAACAGCAATAGTGGCCGTGCGGGAGGTTAATGGCTCTGTTGCCTCTTTTTGAGGCCCGGGAGCATGTGCCAGCTGCTGGAGTCCGCAGCCCCACGGTTCCGCCTGCGGCAGGCTGTGGGCTTTCTAGGTGCCCCACACGCAGGCCTCAGCGGGGCCCGGACTGTGCGCGGAGCTCCAGCCGGCGCTGAGCGCTGCCCTCATGAGCTCAGCCGAGGGAGGGCCCGGAGGGCCGGCCATGGGAGGGGGACTCGGTGAGGGAGGCACCCAGTCTCAGCTGGAGGAGAGCCGGCCCCAGCCCATCCCAGGGCCTCCCTGCCCCTCCTTTCCCCTCCCCAGCTCCCCGCTGTCTGCTGAGCACTCAGGACCCATTGTAAACTCCACACTGAATTACTCATCTTCGCCCACTTCGTCCTGACCAACACCCAGATCAGTTCTCCCTGTCTGCTGGGGGGCGGGGGGAGCCTAGAGCCACCACCTCCTAAGCGAGTGCAGTGAGAGGCAGACCGACCCCACAGCATCGGGACTGGTTCTGAATGTGCGTCCACCCCTTCCGGTTTGGCCGAGAGAGGACGAGAGAGGACCCGAGTGCTGAGCCGCGCCTCCCCTCGGCCCACGTCCGCCGGCGCGGGAGGTCAGGGCGGCCGCAGGGTGTGGAGGTGCTGCGATCCCCCGCCTTGGGGGGAGAGAACGGAGAAGAATACGGTGTGGGTGTGGGAGGGGTTTGCTGGCCGTTCCGCACTCAAGTCTGTACTCCCTCCCGGGAATCGGTGAGACCAGCCCAGAGCCATCCTGCACAGGCCTGCTCCCCAGCAGGCCTCCCTCCTCCTGGACGCCTTGTCCTCTCGAAGGCAGCTGTGGCTCCCCTGGACGCGGGCACGGACCCAGGTCCGGGGACTAGATGGGGGGCCTCGGTGGGAGGTCCCTGTGCGGGACCGGGGCCACCGGGAGCAGGGAGCCCAGCGCCTGGGCTCAGCTTGCTTCCCGGAGAGGCGCTCCCTCCGCTGGCTGCACCGAGCACAGCAGCCATGGGGGCGGGCCTCCCAGACAGCGGGCTCGGTGAGCCCTTTGGCAGCTCAGCCTGGTCCTGGGGGCAGCCGTGTTGTTCGGGGAGGGGGCGTCTGGTTTGGTCTAGACCCCGTTTCCGCTCCTAAGAGCTCCTGAGTGTCTGTGGGAAGCCTGAGTGCAGGGGAGGGGCCGGGCTGCCCGGCGGGCACTGTGCCGGGCTCTGCCCCTTTCTGGGGGGGCCTCCGGCGCTCACCCTGTGTCCCCCCGCAGGAGAGGCCTTCTTCCAGTACAGCCCCGGGAAGCTGCGGGGCAGCCAGTACAAGCGGATGATGACCAAGGAGGAGCTGGAGGAGGAGCAGAGGTAGGCGGCCCCTCTAGGGGGTGGGGGGCGGCGGGGGCTGCGTCTCACCCGGACCCCTGGTTCAGGGGCCAGCAGAGGGGCTCGCCCCTGTGAGCTGCACCCACGCTGACCCGCCAAGGTCCTGTGCGGGGTCCTTCCTTCCTGGCGGTATCTGTCCGGCTCGGCTTCCCCTGGAGACAGTGCCCGGGGGGGGGGGGAGGGTGCTGAGCACATTCTTGCACCCGCTCCTCCCCCCACAGAAAAGAGAGAGAAAAAGAGAGAGGTGCTGGGGGAGGGCCTGGAGCAGATCGGCTGTTCACCTACACACAGGGCTCTTGGCAAAACCCACCTATCCCCCGGCACGGCGCCTCTTCCCGCTCATCCCCTCGGCAGCTGCCGCCTCCCGGCCCAGCGCCCTCCAGCCCAGCGCCCTCCCAGCCCAGCGCCCTCCCAGCCCAGCGCCCTCGCAGCCCAGCACCCACCCAGCCTACCGCCCTCCCGGCCCGGTGCCCTCCCGGCCCAGCCCCGTGGGCATTCTTATCTGTCCTGGGCGTCTCTGATCTGTTCTGCTCCGGGGAGCCCTGAGCGACCGCCCAGGCGCAGCTTCTCGTTTTTAGAACCGACCGAGCTCTTCTGGGACCCGTCGGCCTCCCGCACACCCAGGTCCCTGTGCCTCTCCAGCCACCCCGCCCTGCAGGAGGCTGAGGGCAGCAGGTCTGCCGGAGCCCAGCGCCCCCATGCGCTCGGCCGGCCCGGGGCTGGAGTCCTTTGGCTGGGGCAGGAGTCAGTCACCCTCTCCCGGCACCCGGAGCCCCCAGGGCACACTGTTCGGAAGGCAGGTTACTGCCCAGTGCAGGCTCGGCCACCTGTTCGGTCCTCTCACCGGCCTCACAGCATCAGAAGTCAGAGCCACTCTGCGGAGCACCCCTCCTCCCTCTGGGCGGCGGCTGGGTGGCCTGGGAGCCTCCCCCTCCCTGTGAGGGCGAGGGCGCTGCCTCTGACGTGACGTGTGCTGGCTTTATATTTCAGGATTGAGCTGACCTCTGACCTCACTTCCCTGTAGCAAGCTCCCTAGGTCCTGAGCCACAATATCCTTGCAAATCCTGTTGGTAAGGAGACTGACTTCTTAGCCGAGGGCTGTTCCCTCTTCCTGTCTGTCAGCGCGTCCCCGAAACGACCGGGTGGTCTAACCCCCCCCCTCCGCCCCCCGCCGCCTTCACGGCCAGGGAACGCCGGCCAGGCACCACGCCTCTGGTTCTCCATCCTCCTCCGGGCAGGGAGTGCAGGGATCCTGGCAAACAGGTCCCTTCCCCAGGCCAGTCCCTGGGGCGCCTCCTGGCCCCGCCGGCGGGGGCCGGCGCCCTCTGGTGGGGGCCGCAGGGGCGGCGGGAACCCTTTTGGCTTTGGTCCTCCCGAGGAGGTGGCACAGCCCAGCACAGCTCACAGCACAGCAGGGGGCGGAACCCGTCTCCGGTGGCGGTGGGACCGGCAGGCCTTCACGGCCACAGCTCTTGGCGCCGGTCCGGTGGCAGGTGGAGCCGGCCGGCTCCTTTGCCTGCGGGGCCGCGGCTACTGGATGCAGCAGGGACCACGTGCCCACAAGCCTCCCCGTCAGGGAGCTGGCAGCTCGGGGTTAAGCGGGGAGAGAGCTGCGGTCCCTCGAAGGCCCTGAGGACCTGTCCTTCGGCTGCCTGCGCTGCAGGCGGGAGGGCCGGTCAGGCCAGGCCTGGGGGAGGCGTCAGGCTGCACTGTCCTGGGTCCCGGCTGGGCCTGGGGGAGGGGAGGGAGGTGCCTTCCCCGTCGTCTCAGGCAGCAGACTGCGCCCCCCCAGAGGGTCTCCCCCTGGATCTGTGGAGTCTCTGGACCACAGACTCACACGTCGTCCTCTGTGGGGTGGGGCCGGGGTCCTCGCCCTCCCGCAGGCTGCGGTTGCCACTGGGGGAGTGAGTGCCTGAGCGGAGGAGGGTCAGGTGGGCCTCGTGGGCCCTGATCAGGGCTCCTCACAGGGTGGGGAGTTCACGCTCATTCTCACCCCTGCCCGCCCAGCATGCTCCCCGAGGGTCTGCCTGTGGTGGCTGCTTGCTCCTCTGCCCTCGCATGTGGCCAGCTCCTGCGTGTGCCCGTGTGGGGCTCCTGGGTGCCCCTCCCCTCTCGCGATGCTTGGGTTGCAGAGGCTGGCGCGCCTGGCTTTGCCTTCCATCCTCAGCAAGATAGCTCTGGTGGGACCGGCACAGCGGGTGGGCGTGAGGCAGCCCGGCCCCAGCTGAGCCCAGAGAACTGCCCGGGAGCATCGGCATGAACAGCACAGGCACGTGACTGTCCGTCCGCCGAAACCGCGAGCCCGGAAAAGATGCTCTCGTCCCAGCTGGCCGAATTCCTACAACCAACTCCGCCTGTTCCTGACGCCTCCCCTGGCTCTCAGGTCCGTCAGGCTAGTGAGCAATCAATGCTGCAGCTCCCTGGCCTTAAGCATCAGCTCAGCCAACATAACTACCTGGAGCCTGGCTGGGGCATGGTCACGTGACCCGCAAGCCCCGGAAGCCTCAGTTTACCAGTTTTCAAGGAATGGCCCTTAAGCAGCAGGACGGAAGGCAAGGGGCCCAGGTCTGTAGATCTGCCTCCGCTGCCCATGGGGCGGGAAGCAGTGAGGTTCCGCAGACCCAGAGGCAGCTGCTGGGAAGAGAGACCTGTGTTGTCTCTGCCCACCCTCCTCCCTGCCCTCTGGGGCCCGGGCTCCCGGCCCACAGGCTCCTCAGCATTGCCTCCGCCTGGCTGGGGCGTCCCCGCTCCCCCTCAGCTTCTCTGGGGTGCCACGTCCACCTGAGAGTGGCTGGGACGGTGGGTGCGCAGGCCGGTGACTGTGCCCCTCACCCCAGAGCGAGGGAAGCTGGGGGGCTCAGCTGGCTCCCAGTCTGGCAGGAAAAAGACAAAGCACCACTTCCACTCCCTGCAAGCCACCGTCTCCCCATCTCTGGGCCAGAGGGACGGGCCTGGACTGTAGGCCAGGCTGGCTGACAGCCGAGGGCGGGACCCAGCTGCTCCATTCCGGAGGCCCGCAGGACGGCCGGACGTGCTGGAGTGGACACAGCCCTATGGAAGTGTTCTATGCAGCACAGTGGGCAAGGGGGAGGCGACCCAGGAGCCCAGCTGTGGGCCATTCTAGTCTCTGCCGCCTGACACGCCCAAGGTGTGAATTTCTAGAAACGGGCAGACTGTGACCTGAAGAGGGCGCCAGAGGGACAAGAATTAGACCCCTGCCCGCGTGTTTTCCTGCTGGCCTCCTGGGGGCAGCAGCAGTCCGCCGCTGCCAGCGCCCAGCGGGGACCGCGCCGGCCCGCGGGCCTAGGAAGCAGTCCGGCGTCACAGGACGTCCCAGGGCAGCCGCAGGCCAAACCCCAAGTGCCGGTGCCGCCCTGCCCGCCTCCCCAGATTCGGGACTGACCTAACCACCAGCCACCCAGGTGCCTCCACGCTCGCAGGGGGGGCCGGCGGGCTCCGGGGCAGGGTCCTGTGCGGCCAGGGGCACAGACTGTCTTGCTGAAGGTGCGGGGTGGACGCCCCTCCGGCGTCTGAGGAGCACCGGCCAGCCGGCTTCTGCAACTGCAAACATCCTCCCTCACCCCGTCCCCTCTGCACGGTGCTCTTCCCCGGCCGTGAGTGACATCAATGACCTTCTCTCCGTTTCTCTCCACAGAGCCGAGGACTAAGGAAGTTCCCCCTAGCGCCCTCCTCAGGCTTTTCCTTTGGCAGCTTACCCGCCGGAGGGAGCAATGGCCCCGAGAGCAGCCTGGCTCCCAGGGCATTGCCTGCACCGCAGGGACCGGCCCTCAGCGGCCTCCCCTGGCTGCGGACCGGCCGCCTGGCTCTGGGTGCGAGGCCCTCCTCCTGGCGTGGGGCTTGCTTTGCTGCGCTGGAAGCTTGGGAGTGTTCTCACACCCCGAGCACTGGTTTTCTGTTCGCCCCACCCTGCCTGTGCCTCGCACCCCGCACCCTGAGACAGTCCTTTGCCGTCAGTGCAGGCCTCCTGCTCCCCCTCGCTCGGGGCGGTGTGAGCCGACCCACAGGGCGAGCTGCCCTGCTCCCCGCAGGCTCGGGACAGCCCCCGCCCTCCGCTGCCTGGGGCCGTTTCCTGAGGTCTCGCTCTCTGGGTGACAGACGCTGATGGATGACGGGGCAGCACGCAAGGGCTGGTACTGGTTTACTCACGGCCCCTTGTTCCCTCGGAGGAGGCTCCCATCCGCCCTCTTGTTGCTCGAGGCCTTTTCACTGTTCCTACCGGCTCAGCCACTTTGGTTGCCTCCTTAGCTTTGGCCGGAGCAATAATAGTGTCCTCCTCATAGATTTCTCCTCCATTATGCCTTTTCCCAGAAAGTTTCCAAGGTTCGCTACAGCTTCATCAGGTAACCAGATTGGCCCCATATTGGTTTCCTGGAGTTTTATATGGGATAGTATTTATACTCGGCCAAACCAGTCTACAGTTTTTAGAAGTGTTAAAACATTTTTTAAGTAGTGAGTACCGTATTTTCCGGCGTATAAGACGACCCCCTAATTTTAACAGTTAAAACGTAGGTTTATGCCTGTATTCGCTGTATAAGACTACCCCCCACTTCCGAGGCAACACCAGTTCTTTTTTTAATAGACCGCCTCTCTGACTCTGGCCAAACTGAGCAGGCTTTTTACTAGAACACAGTGTACATGTTCTGTACCCAAAGCTACACTGTGTTCCAGTAAAAAGCCTGCTCAGATTGGCCAGAGTCAGAGAGGCGGTCTATTAAAAAAGGAACTGGTGTTGCCTCGGAAGTGGGGGGTAGTCTTATACAGCGAATACAGGCATAAACCTACGTTTTAACTGTTAAAATTAGGGGGTCGTCTTATACGCCGGAAAATACGGTAATAGGAAAATCTTTGCCATTGAATGGAAGGCTGGGAAATAAATGTCACGTTCCCAGGGCCCTTCTCCTCTGGGCCTGAAACTTGAGGCTCAGGGCCGAGGGCAGGACGGCAGCGACCACAGCCACAGAGCCACGTGACGACAGGCGTCGTCCTGTGAGCACACGTGGCCACACAGCCACACGGTCCTCCAGGCTGGGGTCACTGACACGCCAGCAGGCGGCTCCCCGGGCCAGTTACCGCAGTCCGTCTGCAAACGCCGCACGTGGGCACCGGCCTCTCGCCTGCTGACGGCCTGCACCTGCGACTCGGCCTCTGTGCCGCCAATAAACTCGGAGTAGATGAGCCTGTCACTGTGTGTGTGTGCAGCTTTGCTTGGTGTTTTAAAAAATGATCTCCTTTGAACCCTGTAAAACGTGAGCCCTCTCTCACGTTGATGCTGGCACTCTCCGGGAGGGTGCTGAGTCCCATGTCCACCTGCGAACAGTGTGCAGAGTCACGGGCATCTGATGAGTCCATCCACGGAGCTCAATGCACACCCGGAGCCCAGCGCTGCCCTTCCTTCAGGCGCAGAGCCCTTGGCAGAGGCTGCCTCTCCACAGCAAACCTGGAAATTGCTTTCCCAGGTGGCACAGAGGCTGGCACTGGGGACTGCAGTGCTCCGGCCTCTCTGTGCCACTCCGGTCAGAACTGCTGGGTGGGGAAACGTGGTCCCTGCAGGAGGGATGTGTTAGGACAAGTGTAAGACAAGCCCTCGCACCCCTGCCCAGCAGCATGGGGTGCTGGCCCTGCAGGCCATGGTGCCGGAAGCTGTGCCAAAGCCCTGCGCGGCAGGACCTGCCGTGACGGCAGCAGCCTGGCTGCAGGGAGGTGTGCGGTCCCACCCTGCCAGTTGGCTGACGTTCTCCAGGCGACCGACGCCAAGCTGGTGGTGTGGTGTGTGTGGTGGTGTGTGTGGTGTGAGGGAGGATTTACAGAGGCCCGGAGCCAGAGCAGTGAGCCGGTGCCAGCACACCACGCCCGTTATGCCAACAGCACAGCAAACCGGGCAGAACAAACAACCAGCGTGTTCCCGGCTTCCTGCAGCCTCACACCCTTTCAGGGCAGCACCTGCTGGGCAGGGAGCGGGCTGAGCCTCGTAAAGATAAGAGAGAGGCCTGAATGTCCTCAACAGAGCCGGTCCCAGCCACCCCCGACGGGCGGGACCCGCAGGCCGTACGGTGTCTGTAAATCAGAGGCGCCCCTTCCTCTGAGCAGCGGAACCCCACCCCACCCTCGCCCTGGCCTCGCACATGTACGCCCCCCCGTTCCCAGCCCACCATGTGCCCTCTCCTCACTCTGGCTCCTCTCTGCCAGACCTCCAGCCCTCTGGGCCCCTCCCTCCTCCTCACCTCACTGGGCTGTGTGGTCAGCAGCAGACGGCAGTCCCAGGGGAAAGGAGCACCGAGGACCCGAGCCATAACTTGGGGGTCCGCCAATCTCCAGGGTAGACCCAAGACTCAGACCCTCCAGCTGAGCGCTCTAGGCTAGCCCACACAGGCTGTGCTGAGCGGGTAGTTGGAGTGGAGTTTCTGGCTGTTCTGGACGCTCCGAGGCACCCCCTGAGGCTCCCCGCCTGTGTCCTCTTCCCGCAGGGTGCAGAAGGAGCAGCTGGCGGCCATCTTCAAGCTCATGGAGGACAACAAGGACACGTTCGGCGAGATGTCCCGCGGCGACGTGCAGGAGCAGCTCCGGCTCTACGACATGTAGCTGCCCCTTCGCCGCGCGGCCCCATCGCCGTGCGTGCAGCCGCCTGGCCGACCAGCCCTGTCACTCCCAGCTTCCATCCACGGACGGAGAGCGTCCCACGTGCAGATCTGCTCAGTCCTCCAGCCTCCGTGCTGGTACGGGAGCCAGGACTGTGGTCTCAGGGGAGAAAGGCCTGGCTCCTCCAGCTGCTCCACAGTAACCCTCTAGGCCCCAGCTGTTCCACAGGTAAATCTATGAGGCCCCAGCTGCTCCACAGTAACCCTCTCAGACTGTCTCTGCTCCTGACTGAGCCCTCCACGCAGCCCCAGGGCGGGCGTGGCCCAGGAGGGTGAGCTGAAGGCTCAGCTCCCAGGACACGTGTGGTGGAAGGGTCCCTGGTGCTGGGAAAGTTGCGTATCAGGGCCCGTGGCCTGCATGTCCAGTCTGGTAACATAACACTCTCACTGCCTTAGAAGGACTTCTGGAAGCTTCTGTAACTATGGAAGCAAGCAGTGGGGGAGCCCTCTCAGCAAAAAGGCTAGTTCATCCCCACCGTCCCTCTGGAACAAAGCCGCGGTCTCAGGGTGAAGCCCTCCCGGCATTTCCCTGGCGGAGCCTGGGACTCACTGTAGTGTCACTCAGTAAGCACCTCACAGAGCTAAGTAAGCACCTCACAGAACTAAGTAAGCACCTCACGGAGCACCGAGAACCACGCCGGACACAGCAGATGGACACACGTACCTGGCCTGGCGCCTGCCTGCGGGGGGAAGCTCGGTAGAGAAGACAGGCAGGGCACAGGGAGGCCTCCCCAGGCAGCGCTCAATAAAGTCAATAAAACCTAATAAAATCTCAGAACACTGTCCGGGACCCCTCACCAAGCCACCCGTTTCTGTGAGGAGCGTTTCAGAGCCAAGTGAGTGAGGAAGAACCCATAATGTTCTTATGTTTTTTATCTGCTGGAATAAAGCGAAGCCCACACACAGAATTAAAAGAGGCCGTGGCCTCGGACGCACCTCAGGTTAGCAACGCTGGGACGGGCACCCCCTTCTCCTCCTGCGCCAGACCTCCTCCCACCTTCCTGTCGTTCCTCTGGCTGCTCTGCTGGCAGTCCGCACGCGGGCGAAATGTCAGTGCTTTTTACTCTTAAAAATTATTTTTATCTTTTTTGCCAAGCTTTTAAAAGTTTTATGGTCTGAGGATTGTTTGTCCCCTTTCTGGGGTCTCAGGGACCCACTTCCGGGGTGTTCTATCTACACACACGGCGGGCAGGTCCCTGGGGCCGCACTGCAGGGTGGCACTGCCCTCTGCCCCCTGCCCCCTACCCTTTGAGGCCTCACTGGAACGCCACCAAGTCCCTCTGTGGCCAAAAGAGTCCTCTTAAAACCCATTTCTTTTTTTAAATATACTTTTATTGATTTCAGAGAGGGAGACGAGAGATAGAAACATCAATGATGACAGGAAACCATTGATCTGCTGCCTCCTATACGCCTCCTACGGGGGATCGAGCCTGCAACCCAGGCCTGTGCCCTGGCCGGGAACTGAACTGGTGACCTCTCCTGGTTCATGGGTCGATGCTCAATCACTGAGCCACAGCAGCTTGGCTAAAACCCATTTCAAACTGACCCCCCCAAGCCCCCCAGATATCATATTGCTACAGGTCAAGAAAACCAGAGTTCCTTCCAAATAATGTAGCTGCTGATTCGAGCCCATTATTAGACGTTTCCTGGCAAAAACGTGGACACAACGCAGGACACACCCTGCAGTACGCAACCGAGAGAAAGCACCTGTTTGTTCACAAGTGTGGAGAGGGACACACACTCCTCCCATTAGGGCCATGAGAAAGCAGAAGGCGGGGAGAAAAACCAGAGGCAGGAGAGGACAGTCAACAGAGGCTGACTTCCACAAGCCAGGCCGCCCTCCACCAGCGTGTCCCTGCCACACGGGGCCCAGGAGCCGGCGGATGGACCCCTCCAGGTCTGCGGGTTCAGAGACCTCCAGGGCGCAGTCTCCACCCGGCATGAGAAGCCGCTCACAGCCGAGCCCCGGGTTTCCTGCCGCCCCCGCCACTCCACCCCCCTCCACTCTGCCCCTGCCACTCCGTCCCCCTCCACTCCACCCCCTCCACTCCGTCCCCCTCCACTCCACCCCCTCCACTGCGTCCCCCTCCACTCCGCGCCCCCCCACTCCGCCCCCTCTCCCCCCCCCTCCACTCCCCCCCTCCACTCCGGCCCCTCCACTCCGGCCCCCGCCACTCCGGCCCCCGCCACTCCGTCCCCCTCCACTCCGCACCCCTCCACTCCCCCCCACTCCGCCCCCCCCCCTCCGCCCCCCCCACTCTGCCCCCCTCCACTCCATCCCCCCTCCACTCCAGCCCCCGCCACTCCGCCCCCCTCCACTCCGCGCCCCTCCACTCCCCCCCCCACTCCGCCCCCCTCCACTCCCCCCTCCACTCCCCCCTCCACTCCGGCCCCGCCACTCCGGCCCCCGCCACTCCGCCCCCCTCCACTCCCCCCGCCACTCCGCCCCTTCCACTCCCCCCTCCACTCCGGGCCCCTCCACTCCGCCCCCCTCCACTCCGGCCCCTCCACTCCGGCCCCTCCACTCCGCCCCCCCCTCCACTCAGCCCCCCTCCACTCTGGCCCGTCCACTCCGCCCTACCTGGAGCCCTGCTCCGGAGGCGCTCACACACGCAGCTGTGGCTTGTCACCATCGCACACCTGCAGTGGGTTAAATCCATGTCCACAGGTGTCCTTATCTGTTTACCAAACTCTCTTGCTACACCCGTGGTCGGCAAACCAGAGCTCGCAAGCCACAGGCGGCTCTTTGGCCCCTTGAGTGTGGCTCTTCCACAAAACACCACGGCCTGGGCGAGTCTGTGTTGAAGAAGTGGCGTTAGAAGAAGTTTAAGTTAAAAAATGTGACTCTCCAAAGAAATGTCAATCATTGTGCTGTTGATATTCGGCTCTGTGGACCGATGAGTTTGCCGACCACTGGCCTAGACCTTTCAGGCCCTCCTCCTTCCCGCAGGCTGTGTAACTGCCGTCATCTGACAAAATGAAGTGTCTCCTCGCTTCCTGCTCTTAAAGTTGCTGCCTTTCCCAGCGGCTGCGTTGAAGGAAACGTGCTTCAGAGCTGCCTGAAGCCAAGGGCAAGCTCGCTGTGAGACCCCCACACAGCTCCCCGCAGCCCCCTCCACACACACACAAACACAGCTCCCCGCAGCCCCCTCCACACACACACACACACACACACACACACACACACAGCTCCCCGCAGCCCCCTCCACACACACACACACACACACACAGCTCCCCGCAGCCCCCTCCACACACACACAGACACACACACACACACAGCTCCCCGCAGCCCCCTCCACACACACACACACACACACACACACACAGCTCCCCGCCAGCCCCCCTCCACACACACACACACACACACACAGCTCCCCGCAGCCCCCTCCACACACACACACACACACACACACACACAGCTCCCCGCAGCCCCCTCCACACACACACACACACACACAGCTCCCCGCAGCCCCCTACACACACACACACACACACACACAGCTCCCCGCAGCCCCCTCCACACACACACACACACACACACACACAGCTCCCCGCCAGCCCCCCTCCACACACACACACACACACACACATACACACCTTAGATAATTTATACTTGCTTTCAGTGTTTTAAAATCAGAAAAATGGGACTGGCTAAGGACAGATCCCTTTGAAGCTGCTTTGTTCCTCCCAATTTGATGAAAACACAGGCCCAAGGGCCTCCCCGTGCTCACAGTGTGACAAAGCCGGTCTCCGGGAAAGACGCCGCTGGAAGCATGGCCGGCCCGGACGGACGAGGCCGCCAGTGTTCCCGAGGCCACGGGCATGGCCGTGGCACCAGGCACGGAAAGGCAGTGGTGAGAGGCTTGCTTCTACCCGAGGCACCCGGATGGCAGCACCCTGTGTCTGGGACCCCTGTCCGGCCTCTACTCCTTGCTGTGGGAGCGGTTACGTGAACCTGAAGTAGGCAAAAGCCGTGTCCTTCCTCCCCCCACCCCCTCCCTTAGCGGCAGGCCTGTTACCAGCCACGGAGGCCCACCCTGCGCCCGCCCTGGTTAGAACTGGGCGCCGGGAGAACCATGGCCACGCTGGGCACATCCCAGTTGTCACCGAGCTTTGTGTTGTGTGGAGGCCTTTTGTTTTCGCTCACTGTTATCACTACTACCACTTTATTTTTATTCTATTTCCCTCCTAAGGCTTCCCCCAGATTCGCCGCCACTTCACTCCTAATGAGTAAACCATTCTGATGACTAGTTTTGGTTTGGGCCTTTCTGCCCCTCTTTTTGCTAAAAGTAGCGGCCCATCTGCACTCTCCCTGGAGATCAGGCCTTGGAAAACCCGCCGGCTCCCTCCTTTTTAACGCTGCGAAGTCTGCTGAATAATGCCACACAGGCCCGGCCGTATCCTGCCATTTGCCTACTAACGGGCATTGAATGGCTGCCATCCTTGCTAATTCAAGTGTAACACTACGACGACTAAAGCTGCGCACCTCCCGGCGGTGTGTTTCAGGGCAGATTCCTGGGAATGCATGGGCGGGTCAAAGCCAAACTCAGGCTATTCTGTCAGGTGTCACTTCCCCATCGCCCCCATTTCCCCCCATCCCAATTTGCTGGGTATGGCAGAGCCAGTTTCTGCGCTGACCGTAACCAAGAACCTTGTCAAATTTTGGATTTTTGCCAACCTGATAGGTCAGGATGTTAGCTCAGTGAAGTCTGTATTTTTTTTTTAATGAAAAAGGTTGAGCATCCATTAAGGGCTCCTTACTGTGGTTTCAGTCTCTTCCTGTTCCCTACTGACCATCACCCACCATCCTAGCTCTAACTCCCCGAACAGCGCACAGTTCCCGTTATCTGGGCCCCCGTTCGGGCCTCGCCGGCTGTGCGCCCGGATTCTGCGGGTGGAAGGGGGCGCCGCCCCTGAATCAGAGGACCCAGGTGCCTTAGTTACAGCCATAATACCGGGGGGAGGGGGAGAAGGGGAGAGAAGGAGGCCCTTTCTTTTACGCGTTAATTGCTCACTTTATTCGGAGGAAACACGCACCGAGATAAAACACAGGTTTGAACACCAGCCTTTCCACGCGGGTATCCCTCCGCGGCACCTCAGTGGCCCGAGCACCTGCCAATCTTCCGCGAAGGCGAAGCTCTTGATTGCCATTGGATGCTGCATCCTTCCATGGTCTCCCTCAGCCCCAAACCCCGCCCCTCCCTCAAAGATGGCCGTCCCGGATGTCCGGTCTCGTCCAGTCGCCTTTCCTCAGTGATTGACAAGGGCTTTTGTCCAACGAGAAGCGCGGGGTGGCTCCTCGGTCCACGCAAGCCCCGCCTCTCGCCTCTGCCGCAGAGGCTGCCGGGTGCTGGGGGCTTTGGGCCGCTGTCTGCCGTCGCGGCGGGGCCCGTGCTTCCGGCTTTGCCTCTGGAGGCCGAGTCCCGGATGGCGGCGCTTCTGCCCGGTCCCACCGAGCCGCCTGCCGCGCGGAGGGGCGACCTGGCGACCTGCCCGGCCTGGGGCTGGCTCCCAGGTCCCCCCCTCAGTACGAAGATGGATTCAGGCGCGGTCCTGCACCCCAGGATCCCACCATCACCACCTTCCGCCAACACTCCCCAGGCCCGTGGTCTGCAAACTGCGGCTCTTTGGCCCCTTGAGTGTGGCTCTTCCACAAAACACCACGGCCTGGGCGAGTCTATATTGAAGAAGTGGCGTTAGAAGACATTTTAAGTTTAAAAAAAAAAAAATAGGCTCTCCAAAGAAATGTCAATCGTATTGTTGATATTTGGCTCTGTGGACTCCTGAGTTTGCCGACCACTGCCCCAGGCCCGGTCCAGAGCGAGGCCTGGGGTCTCCAGCCTCCGTCCTGTAGCTGAACCAACACTCCTTCCAGCTCAGCCTCCCTTCTGTTTCCCGTTATCCCGCG